ACACACACACATATGTATATGTACACACACACACATACACTGCCCCTCCAGTTGCCATCAATGAAATGGGCAAAACAACAGATGGAGAAATGTTCAGCAAATTGGAAAATGAGAAGAGGATGTGCTGACAGTACTGAAGAGAAATAAAAATCATAATTGTATAAACATTAACGAGCTTGAAGAACCATACTGCAGAAGAATTGCTTCACACCTGGGGCAAGCACAAATTCTGCACATTAACCACAGAAAAAACATACACATCTAATAGTTGTCATGATGCACTGTATACACACAGTGCTATGTATACACATAGCATTTGTGAATTTAAGATATAAGGCATTTAAGGGTGCTGGACACCCCTGAGTTTTGCCAGTAAACTGTTTCATTTTTAATTGAAGCATGGGACAGACCATCTCACCATAAGGTCCCTGTCTACAGCAGGGAACAATGCAGGGAATTTGCTGCCAGCAAAACCCAGTGGCACTCACCACAGAGTCCAAGGGACAACTACTGTATTAACAGGTATTTTACATAGGCATGTAAATATACATGTAATATTATATAATAATGCATGGAATATGAAATACATGTAAACAGAAATACATGCTAAATACATTTAAAACACATGCTGGGGAACTTCAGGAGAGCCCAGAGGAATTATTCACTATAGCACAGGGGCTGAAGTTCTTTACCACAAGCTGGAAACTTTGGGACATATGGTGGATGTTATATATCTGCATGCGAAAATGTTTAAACTTTTTTGTTTATTCAGTGGAGTAGATGAAAGCTCTTACCTTCATTTTGACCTTTGAACAAGCAGCAAAACTCTCCTTACAGCCTTTGTGAACAATTGCATTGCAGTCTGTTAAAAGTAAAAAAACACAACCAATTAAACAAAAACCCCACAGAAAACAGGCCAGTTTTTGCTGTTTGTAATCCGAACTGTTATCTTGCACAACTGAGAATTACAACTTTCAGGCACCATTGTGGTTCGCATGAGTAGCTACAGATACTGAGACAGACTGCTTTCCCGGATAATTAGTCCTTTGTTAACAAGATTTCCTCATGGAATCTAACAGGAAACTCTGTTTAAAAATCAATGCAAGGTTGAGAAGTCAGGGTCCTAATGGGTCTTAAATAAAAAGAAAAAAAAGAAAAAGAAAAAAGATGGACTTATTCCTCTGAAGGGAAAGTAAAGTGGAAAGTAGAAGCAAGAGACAGAAACAGAAACCAATTGTAGGGGCAGTATTTTCTCTGAAAACAGAAATATGTTCTTATCAAGACAAGGATTACGGGATCCAAAAGACAGGAAAAGGACAGGAAAATTCATTTACATAAACTCAGACATACCATAGCCGAGATTTACAGGAACCAAGTGCTACTGTAGTATAGGATTACCAGAAAAAGTAACAGGAGCATCTGCCAGGTGACCACGTCCTTGAGGTTGGGACTTCCTGCTGACAACTACACTGACGCCTGTTTAGGTCCAAACCCACAACATTTACGGATGCAAAGAGCATCGTGCTTTAACACCACCCGTTGCTGCATCTATGTCAGAGCAAGAGCTGTGTATCTTTTTCAGAATACCCTGAGTCTACCCATGATCTCTGCCAGTAGCTTTCTGGAAATCAAAGTTTTAAAAAATGACTAATAAAAGCCAGTAATTCTGATATTTTGAGAGAGGTAAGGGTAAGGCCGCAGGGCGTTGCTGTTCTGTCGATGTCCCACAATTTCCTGTGCAAGAGAGACAGAAGAAAGAAACCTGCATGTTCTTGCAAAAACCCACAAGCACAATCATTTTTCAGATCAAACAAGGAAGAGGGACAGAACCTGCTTTGGGTGCATGAAAAGAGGCAGTGACACAATTCAGAACCACTTAAATTCACATTCAAGCCTTGAAAGCCTGAAGGCAGCTCTTCAGTATGTACCATTTAGCAACCAAGCATTTTGATCTCTGAGTTCAAAAGTCTGGTTTCAGGAACTTTATTCCTCTAGCTCAACTCTTCAGCAGGCAGGACCTTCTTCCAACTCCTGTGTATCACTAGCATTAATAATTAAAAACCCTCAAAGCTTCTTTTCTGCATCACTGATCATAAAAAAACATTAAAAAGACCAGGCAGAGGAATTAAAAATTGGGATTTTTTGCTTGCCCATTTGTTTCAGAGCATGCTAAATCTTTCAGCACTGACTGGCTGTTTCAGGAAGCTGTGGGCGTCATTGAAAAGTTGAGACATTGATTTAAAATGATCCAGGGCTTTAAAAGGCATTATGAAAACGTCATCCATAGGCGAGACAGAGCAGTGATGGCAGCAGTAAAGCATTGTCACTTGTGTAGGAAAAAAGCAGTCTACAACAGCACAGGAACAACAGAGCCTCTGCTACTGGTTATCAGTCATTTCCATGGCAGTTGATGGCTGGCTTTAAGACACAAGAGGAGAAAGGATCACTCTTAGGGGTGAGCTTATAACCTGAGACTTGACCAAACTTTCCTTGTGGCTTTCACTTTCTGGACAATGCAGAAAACTTATTCTGTTGTAACTTTAAAAATAAGGAAAGAACATTTACGCTAAAACATAGGACGCTGTTGGATTATTTTAACTCATTAGGCTATAGAGAGTTAAACTGGGATATATTTGATTTTCTAAGCGGCTTCAGAAGCTGTTAAGAAAGTCAAGTTGGGAAAGGGAGAGGATGCATTTGAGAGCTTGTAACAGTTTATGTTTTCCATTTCCCATCAGGCTGACACAGAGCACATCTCATGCAAACAACTTTGCTGAAATCTCTTCCAGGAAGCTCAAAACTGCCATTGAGGATTCAGCTAACTGCTCACCGGAGGTGTCTTATACATTGCTTATCTACCAGAAGGAACAGACTGACACTGAGCCTCCTGCTCCAGCATGGCAGCAGTTCCTCTACACAGTTTGACTCATCCCTAGGCCAGTACAGTAGAAAATATTATTAGTAGTGAGGAATGGAGAGGCCTGAGCTGCAGTGGGAAACAGACATTTTTGTCTGCATATTCTATAGCTTTGGGTCACTGCATAAGCCAGCCACCATTCTGGTCTCGACTACACAAACGCTGCTGACCTTATCGAGCTACAGCCATGAGAAACCAACTGATAGAAAAAAAGAGAACAAAGTCACCGATCTCGCAGAAACCCTCTGCAGTGCTTCCCGTACCACCTGCGTGGTGCTGCACACACTTCACATGCACACAAGCAGTTGCCATTTGACCTCTGATGCAATCTCACGTATTGAGAAGGGAGAAGAGGGTTAGCGTTTCCTTTTGATATCACGCTGTTCTCACTGAGGGCTCACTGAAGCTGTGTTTCAGAGAACTAAAGGGATATACTACAGATGGGTGGGAATTTTTTTTCCCCGATTGGAAATAAAGGCCATGATCCAAGCCAGCTTTCTCTGTCCTCCATCTGCCTTAAAGCGCCTCAGCCCCATGGAGCTGAAATAACCCAAGTCCTTCAGCTGACTGATCCATCCCAACAAGCAGGGGCAGAAAACCCCGCGGGATGCTGTGATGTCCAAGCACTGGCTTGGAAGGAGACTGTGGGATGCTTCCTTGCAGCCACGACTCATTTCAGTCCAGCTTCCGTAAGGTAACACGCTGCTCCATGAATCACCATCTAAAAAACCTCTCTCCCATCCCACATCCTTAAGTGAGAGGAAAATAAAGTGTCAGGCTCATGTTTCCTCATGTCAGATTTAATGAAAAACAAAGAGAAGGGGGGCAAACCCCCAACTTACTTGCACAGTAGTACGAATCCTTATTGAAAGGTTTCATACAGTGGTAACAGGTTGCTTGGGCTAAAGCAGAGGTTGCAGTGAAGAGGTGTCCGTTCAACAGCTTCTTATCTTTTTCCTTCTCCTTGGAATCTTTGTCCTTCTCTTTAGTCTTCTCTTTATCTTTCTCTTTTTCCTGCCGAGAGAAAATGAACAAATGCCTGGTCACTTCGCAGAGGTCTATTCTCTGGTTACAAATTCGTCAGTGTTTGCCTTTGGCACTATGACCAGATCGATCGGTGCACACCTTAACAGTAGTCGTGTGTCTGTGCAGCTCTCTTAAAAAATCAACGTACAACCCCCATGGATGTGGATTAACATAATACTGACTCACAGAGCCTTCTGCGCTGGTATCTCATCAGCAGAGACAAAATTGAGTCTGTTCTGAAGGCTGCTCTTTTCTTCTGCTTTTGTTTCATATCTGCTTGGATTAATGACTTACTTCTTTTCCTCTTCTGGGCTCTCATCAGTCTCTTCAGCACTTTCAATGAATTGTGTTAAATACAAACACCACGCATAAAGCGTATCAAACTTTCCACACAGTTAATTTTTAAGGCCAATCTGTAAGACTCGTGCTTTGCAATTGCGTTTTCAATGGAGAAGACAAGCTCTTCCTTGCTGCCTGTACAGCATCGCTGCCAGAATATTTCCACCTCCGTTTTCCTTCTGACTAGCAACTTTTTCAACAGTTTCAGGCAACCTCAAGTAACCATGTGAAGCTTTTTTGGGGAAACAGATCTTTCACAAACACTCAAAATACGGCACCGCAGAAAGGCTGAGGAACCACAGCAACACGGTAGAAAATTATCTCGGCTTCCGGAAGCCACGGTTCAACCTCTGGGCTACTCAGCTTTGGAAAGATGCAAACAAAGACTGCTTCTCCAACTTTTAGCAGAGCTTTTGCTTTTCTATCACTACTTGAGATAGAAAATGCTAAATACGAAAAATATGAAACATTTTCCTCCTACAGCCTTTCATGGATTTGGAATTCTCCCAAACCATTTTTAAAGGAAACTCCATAGAGAAGCTCCAAGTTTGAATTATAGCAACTCCCTGTCTTTCTATGTACCACCCCACAAGATGTTTACCATACAATTCAGCTCCAGATCTGTATTTTATAGCTGTTAATTTAGATTTCATGGCATCCGAAAGAGAAGCTTAACCAGAAATTGATAAAGGCTTCTGTAAACCTATCTTTGCATTTTGTTATTTGTATGCCATGTGCCCTTTGCTAAATATTGTAACAGGCTAAATATCAGAGAGCTGCAGAGCAGCCCATGTGAGCCACTGCCATTAAGCGGTTAAAAGTGGTGTTGAGCTGTGCAGTCACTGGCAGGGAAACTTTCAAGCCTTTGATGACACACTCCAATAATTAGTAACTCAGCCTCAGGTTTCCTCTCTCCCAACACACCCCAGGCAAAATCTCAGTGTTGGAGTCTCTTCCTGCAAAGCCTCATGAACAGAAAGTCTATTTACTGGCCCCTAACACTACTTTATTCTGCAAATAAGCAAAACCAGGAGCATTACTGTATGGAATAACCTTGTCTGAAGCAGAAACCCTGCCAGGAAGAGTCTGGTTTGCGGCACATCTCTGCCTCCTTCAAGCCATCAGCTCAGATCACCACCCCACGTCAACCACCACAGCTCCCTTCACTTCACCTTTAACCATGTCCAGCCCAGCAGGACTCAAGAACTAAAACTCTGCAGTTTAGTCCTTGGCCAACAGCACCAAGTTGCCACCTGGAGTTCTGCTCTATTGCCAGGACTTGTGAAGCTCCAGGAGAAAAGATCACCCTATGCTCAATATGGATCTCGTGACCTTCACACTAAAATGCTGAAAGGAGAGTCACCGTCCTATACTTTAAATGTACCTGATGTTTACTGCAAAGCCTAGTAATTCTAGAGTCTGGAATAATACCCTGTCTTTATAAAAATCAGTGTAAAAAGCATTTTCATTAAAGCTGAACGACCCCAGGAAAAACAGGAAACGGGTGCACCACTTTCAAGGAGGAAACAGCAAACTTTATATACGGGATGCCAGCCATACTGCTGAAAATCAGGGTCTCAGAACAAGTTTTTTTTTGTTTTTTTTTTTTCCCTTTCCAGTGACAGTTACTGGAACTCTTTTTAAAAAGAGGATTGTGAAAATAAAGCCATTTTCTTGCACTGTCAGAGCTGCCAGCATGACCTGAAGCACGGCTTCATGGCTGAACCTGTACCAACGTGCACCAACGGACACAACGGGTACCGCAACTCAGTCATACAGCCCAAAATTACAGACCTGTGCTGCGGCAGCAGATTCCGCTTCAAAATAACCACGAAGCTCTTACCTCCCAATGCCTAAGTCCTACTAGCTTCACTGTTATGTGAGGTACTTCGGAAAATCGATTCCATTTTATCGACATCCTTCCCCCGGGAGCAGGAGAGCTGCTCCCCACCAGCATCAGCCCATGGCGACGGCAGAGGGGGACGGCTGTCAGAGAGGAGTTGAGCAAAAGGGGAGGGCGGGACGACTGCTGCTAACTTCCTTGAAGATGATTTTAGCTACTGTGCTGCTGCTTTTATCTTGCCCTATTCTAGCTTTCACTGCAAAAAAACTTAGAAACAAGATGCAGGCAGGAACGGATGGGCTCAATATTTTAGATGTCACAAGTCAGTATGAGACCACCCATTTACAAGGCAGAGGGTGGTAAATCAAACCCTCTGCGATGTTTGGGACACAGAAAAAGTGAATTTTAACATACCTCAGCGTTGCTGTGTACTTCAGTAAAAGTGCTGCAGAAGACTTGCCAGACAGAAAGGTTTCACGTGTTTGCACTCCTCCTGCTTTACTGGTCACAAATGTTCCCTGTCTCCTACTCCTTTCAAACACTCAACTCTTACTGTACACACCGAGAAGCTGTTGGTGGTACAGCTAATAACTGCGCAAGTCAGGGAAAAAGAGAAATCACTCATGCTAATTATTTTTGTCGTCATTTCCCAGAAGCTCTCTACCAAAATGAAGAAAATGAGTATTTTTTCCTGACTGACAGAGACACAGCACATTTTAGACCTTGCAAACGTGAATCAGTGCACGTTACTGATTTCAAGAGATTCACTGACTAATCCCTGAACAGCACAAAGCATGTGTCAGACGTGGGTAAATTCACAAACTTCTATCATCATCTCCTACGGTTACTACTCCAAAACCTGTTTTATTTTTAGGGTTTATTTACATAACTGTTTACACCATTTGCAAGAAGAGCTGTTGCCGTTAGTAAGCTCAGATGTGCTTTGTTTTATGGTTCATCTCAGAAAATGATGATTTCTGAAGGTTTGGAAAAAAGTAGAACCTAGTTAGAAAGAAGCTGAAGCCTCTCTCCCTTCTTAGAGCCCAGACAGCAGCAGAAACCAACTCTTCCTGTCCAACTTCCTCTTTCAAGGTTTGTTGTTTTTCTTTTTAACTCTTACAGGTTTTCATTGGCCATAACGCTTCTGAGAAACCCATGTTTGCAAGAATTTTTAGGTCAAATTGTTTAAGCGTACAGCTGAAGCTCTAAAAATGTGCTAACATTCCACTGCAAGTAGAGAAGAAATTGTAACTAGAATGGAATTATGGCTTTTTAGTTAGTAAAAATATCACAACTGCTATGAGCTGGGATCTTTGTAGTGTGCATTATTGTTTAGATTTTGGAGCAATGCTTTACCAACAATTTCAGACACAATCAAGAAATCAGTGAAATCAGACTGCACCTATTTAACAAAGGCAGAGCAAGTATCTTGAAGCACTTCTGTCCTACTTCTTCGCCTGTCCCAACCAGATCTCGTACACACATCCAGATCCTGCTTCCAGATTATACACCCGTAGTGCAAGAACCAGTTAACACATTTCCAGTCTTGTTCACAGGCTGTGCAACGTGATCTGCAAGTTCTTGCTAGTGGTTTTGCACAGAGGTTTCTATGTAAATATACATATCTATTTGACTGGGTACTTTGCAGCAGGGAAGAGCATTATCTTAAAGCTGTTCAGCAGCAGCTCTGAGCCACTGGTACCTCCTTTAAAGGCAGATCCACAAAGAGGAACTGTGCACTAGGGTGACTGATCTCACTACAGCTGGTGCCTCATTGCAAACGTGATGCAATCTGGAAAAACAGGTATCCAAATGTGCACTGTGCCATTACAGCACGCAAACCCAGCGACATCAGAGAAATGCTCAGGCTGAAACATCAAGTGGTTATGTTGGGAAAGGCTAACATGAAGTTTGCTTGTGCAAGTGAAGCGTGATCCCTCCCATACAGACAGGCTTCAGCCCCCTCTTATCCTGCGATAGGCACAATTCTCATTATGCCACATTTTGTTTCCCATTTGCTATTCAGACACTCATCAGAACATGTAATTATGTGTCTCAGGGCCTTCCAGTAGCATTTAACAACATATTAGCTACATATCACCTAACTATACAATACACATTGCCCAGTGTGAGGTAAGGCGCTCTTCGCTTCTGTCAGACATGGTAAACCAAGGTGAGATTCAAGTAAAAAAATCCATCAAAGTCAAAAAAACCCAAATGTATATTAAGCTTCAGGGGACAACTGAAGGCAACAACAGCCCGTTTGCATGAAGTTAGCATCAATGTAATTATTCCTGTACCCAGTGCTGTTCCCAGGAAATTCAGTTGTGCTGAGCAGGACTTAACCTTCAGCAACTTAAATCCCAGGGTTTCAGGGAAAGAAAAAAGGGGAAAGTATAACCATTGGCCATCACTAAAGGTCATGATTTGGACAACTTCTCCAGCAGTGCACAGGAACTTTGTGGCAAAGGTAGAAATTAAAGGGAAACACAATACAGCCTTCAGCAGCCAGTCCCTTCTCACAGCTCCTGTCCTCATTTTATCAAACAACTTTCAGGTTCTGTAAAAATTAGACCCATCAATCACTGCAAAGCTGTAACTCCTGCTGGAGCACAATCTATTCTCTGTAATAAATGAAGTTTGTTCTGTAGGGAAAAGAGGCAAAAACATTGCACAGGAAACCTCACCTCAGATGCATTTCAGTTTTGGGGTGCTAAAATCTCCCATGCCATTATTCCCCATTACCTCACAGAAAAGCCTTCCCTTGCAAAAGGAAGAAAAAAGAATAGAAAGGCAGGCAAAGACATAAACACCACTCTATGGAAACACAAACACAGAATTCATCTCTGCTACTTGTAGATATTTCATGGCTGTATAAATCACAAGAAGCACTTACTTTGCTCTTCTTGCTGCTGGACATTTTATTCCTGAGGTAGCTGAAGGTGCGGCTGACTTTTGTTCCTTTACCAGCAGGGACACTGCTGCTCTCCTCAGATACGCTAGAATGAAAAAAAGAAGTTGTTTTCATTGTTTTTTCCTTACAAAGCATCTATTAAATGGATAGGTTCTTTATCAAAGGACAGATGCATTTACCATCCAATAGTCACAGGCTGATTTATGGTGTTACACGAGAAAAGGCAAAGTGAAGACAAAATGCCAATCTGGTAGTTAGTCATAAGTTTCAAGGAATCTTTTTATCTGTTTTTAAGCAATCTCCACTCTCAAGCCATGCCACAGCACCCTCTGCTGCTCCTGTGGCCGAATAACCACTAAGCAGCTTACAGCATCTGTCCATTTACATGGCCAGTGTTGCAATAATACAGTTAGTTTTGACACTTAAACATCAATATTTTGAATGTGGAGTAGATAGAAAGGGATAGGACATGCATTCATCCTTTAAAGAGAGATCTCCTTCCAGAGAAAGGCATCTAACGAATTCTGAAAAGGCAGTGATTGTCTCTAACATAAACCACGCTGCAAAGCCTCCCCTAAGAAATGAGAATACAAATATTAAGTAATATAAAGCAACAGTTATTTGTATTAATTTAGGCACTTCTGAGATGCCAGATATTGTCTGCCAGTCTTTACACAGACAAAATTATGACTTCTTCAGCCTCTATGGAGGAATAAGAAATTACAGAGGAAACTATTATTGCATTTGAAAAAAAGGACACAGTCTGTCAATAGGAAGTACAACACAAATCAAAACCAGAAGGACAGAAAGACAAATGAAATCAAGGAGCAGAAACCAGCGGCAAGCAGAGAAGAGCCTCTCAGATACCAAATAAAGCTGAAGCTGTCACAGTGACACAGAGACACCCAGCTCCTTCAGTGCCACAAATGTCCCTCCTCCAGAGAAGTGCTTTTAAAGCCAGCACCCACCAGAAAGATTATCTCCTCTCTACAGTTTGCAAGGATGAAAAGCAACGTACAAAACCAGGATCATTTTGATCTTTGTTACAGAAACATAGACAGAATTAACCAAATAGAGGAACAACTAGTTCTTCTGTCACAAAATAGAACACAGGGTAATCCAATATTGTTCAAGAATAGATAAACTGATGCAATACTGTATGTATAAACACAAAGCTTTGTCAGAGATAAGACCGAGAAGACACTTTCATTTTCTATGTTCTAAAATATTCTTCAGCCTTCAGACAAACTGGATTGATTTTCACAGACCTGACACTTGCAATTTCAGCTGAAGCACACTGGGGCCAGGAAGGCTTTTGGGCGTCAAAGCACAGCCCACTGCAAGAGTCCCACCAGAAAAGAACATGGTACCCCCAAAATACCATACCTCTGAACTGAGGGACCTGTGGAGCCGCTGGATGCCTGCGTACCTGGAAAAGATTGGAGGGGTGGGGGGATGACATGTTAGACCATGATCTTAGCACACTGATTTTAAAAACATAGCTTGCATATTTGCATGGTTTGAGTGGAAGGGGAAATGTTCTCCAGAAGTGAGAGTCTAGAATAGATTTCATGTGCTTGGGATAAAGCCTTTTCCCTGCACCCTTAGGTGCTCTCAAATCAGATGCTGAGGTGAAAGCCTGCTTAGTGTTTTTATCCTTCTTCAGCTATTAAGCAAAGGATGTGCATCTGTTGAGCGCTGATAAACCAAGGTATCTGAATCAGAACTGCCAATCCAATGACAATAGGTGTAAATGAGAATCTTTCTGCCACAACGCTTTTATTTATACACCACTAGAAAGAATCTATTGTACAAGACATCCGGGTTTCATGTATAAAACTTTTATGCTTGATAAAATTATAGTTCATTTTCCCATCAAAATCGTGAAGCACTTCATAAAGAGTAAGGGAAACAAGGGAAGCCTTATTCTGTTTTCCATGAAACATTACCAGCCCAGGGCTTAGTCACACAACTGTGCTTGAGGAAAATCTGACTTTTGACATGGAGCTGAAGCCCAGCCAATGGCACAAATTCTCTTTATACCACAAGAAACCTGCTTGCACAATGCATTTGGAGCAGATTAGGTAGCTGATACCATTTACCAGAACCACTGAAGAATACCGGAAAATCAGAATGAAATGATCCAGAGAAGAGAGGGCTCTCCCGAGTAACTGGGCTCATCAGGACTCCAAAAAACCCTCCCTACAAGCACTGTTTGCAGTCCCAGCTGAAGTTCAAGAAGCAGCATGACTGATCCTCTTATTAGGCTTCTGCATATACATTGTACAAAAACCAGTACTTTAGCTTCAAATTCTGTTAGCATATAAAAGCTAAGGGCAAATGCAAAAAAGCTACTTGACATCAGAGGCAATGCTGGTCCTCTATCCAAAAGCAGTAAGAGCATTAGGAAAAACTCTGCATACACTACTGTACACCTTATGACTCTAAAATACACATTTTCCTGACCACTGATTCAAGTGTCAACACCGCCTGAGACAGAAATATCATTTCTTCAAATTGGGAAACTAAAATACAGGCATATCCCATTGCCTCACCTCTGCCTGGAGATTTCTATTAGCATTTCTTTTGCAAAATCTTTGATCCAATTAATGATCTATCCCAAATACATCAGAGTTAGTAATACTGTAACATACATCAAAATGAAGCATATTATACAATTTCCCGACTGTGCTGGGTTTTTATGTAATGTCTACTACCTAAGCCCCTAAGATCACACAAGTAATTTACTCCCAATTCCCTAGTTAATACTCCAGTGACTCTAGTTCATGCTTCAGCTCCAGTTTGCTTTTAACAGGAGTTAAGGCTTCTCAACCTTTCCTTTTGGTAATAAATCCAGTGGAATTGATGAAGCTAAGAACTGCACAAACCTTTTTGTTTCTTTGCAGTTAAAGTAAGAGATACAAATGAATGCTGCATCACGAGCTGTAATAATTTGATACTCGTGACTGTTTTTCAGCCACCTTGAGAAAACACATTGAATGTGAACCTGAATTATGTACTATTTATCTTTGACTGCAATAGCATTTTATCTTAAAAATGGGGGATTCTTTACACTGGCAGGCAAAGTGGATCCATACAAAAATCAACGTAAAAGCTTGTTTATGATTTCATATTTTGGTTTACAATATAACATCGTATGATCAACATTCTGCTGCAAGCTATAAAGCCCAAGAAGATCAGCACAGAAAAGCACGTATTTTCTCACCTTCAGGTTTTTTTGGGGGAGGTAGAAGGAGGCAAAGAAGGTTTATTTCCATAATTTTTGTGTTTCCTATCATGACCAGGTTCAAAACTGAAATGCTAAAACTAATTTCACAGCCCACAAAAGATGTTAGTTTTGTTCAAATGGCCAGGACTGCTATCTGTGTGCAATGAATCCAGGCTAGCAGCCAAATTTTGGTGTACTTAATTAACTGAACACCTTCTAAGCATCACCCACCAAAGTTATTTCATGTGGTAGCTGGACTTGAAATAATACATTATGCAGAAAACAGTGACTGGACTAGGATACTGCAAACAAAAGAAACCAGCTCACAACTCTGTAAAGCTTAACTTCTGTGGGTCAAGAAATCCAAAGGTTTCATAATAATTTTTGTTAAATGCACAGGTTGGCTTGTCCAGCCATCTGAAATCCACATATCTTAAAAATACATGACAGCAAACAAACTACAACTGATTCTCCATACTCTACAGAAAAAGGTTATAGAGATGTATGGTGACTGAAATGCAAGTGCAATCTCAACACCAACACATCCATCCCCTCCTGAGAAATGAACCCTGAAGATGCGAACAAATAAACAAACTGGTCTGGGATTACTACATGAAAAATGCCCATTGCCAAAGCTTGGCAATCTTATGAACAGCTGTGGCTAAACCAGCCCTTACAGAAAGCCACCACAGTACCCTCAAATATGAGGGAATAAAACCCATGTAAAGAAAGCAACATTTTTGCTTGAGACAATATCCAACATTACTTTAAATGCTCACTGGTAACAGCTGTGCTGTTGAGGGAGAGAAGACAGATACTGGCTAACAGAAATAGCCCCCCAAATTGCTATGTCCTAGCCTATTAGGAATCACTTAACTGATTGGATGCTTAAAACAAACAGAAAATAATAATAATAATAATAATAAAAGCCAAACTCCAAAACCAACAACAAAACCATGAAAAAAACCAATTGCAAACCCAAGTCCACGCAGTTTAGCTACGAGTACTTTTTACCATGGGAGCATGACATGAAGGCACAGCTGTGTGTCTGCAGCTCACTTTCTGGGGACTACAAATTGTGAGTTTTGTTAAAGGCAGAAGAGAAGGACAGAGCAAAAAGGAAGGAGCTTAAGTATGGGAGTGGGTAGTATCACACCTGGGAAGAGCACAGACTTTCTTGTAGGAAGGGACAAACCCACAGTGGAGACCAGGAATGGAAAGGAAGAGAATTTAGATACCTACAACATGGATGGTGTGGAGATTTTTTAAATTTGGGAAGCAACCACAATCTGTTGGACTGGAAAGCAATTTGCCCCCATCCCAGGATACACATGAGGGATGTGGGATAGTTTCCTTGCAAACCTTAGATCTAAACCAACTAATGCAGCTGCTCTGAATTTTCTCTTTAAATAGAGAATTATCTGTTCTAGTTTATTTCAACAGTCTAATAAAACATGCTTAAGAAATAGGAAGCATTTCCAATTATCTTTGATAAACCTATGTAAAAAAAAACCAAGAGGAGCCTAAATTACTTTAATTCAATCTTTGGCCTTAGAGGGGTATGTTTTAGCAATGGAGTTTGTAGGAGGGGAAAAAAGCTAACATCTAACACTTGCCTGTTTCCCAACAAAACTATTTCTGATTATAATTATAGACCTAGATATGAACACCCTGACGATTTAAGGTGTTTGGCTGCAATGTATGTTTGCAGAATAAAGTTCTTTTATTCTGCCTTTAGTTAGTATTGAGATACAGAGCTGACATAAAGTTGTTAAGAGATCATGCAATGGAAAGGTCTGGTTCAATGTTAGCAAGGTGAAACTTCAAGGTCTAAAGCAGAAAACCAGATTTCCCTTTGTTTCCACCAGTAATGGCTGCAAACACAAGGAAAGTGATTACTTACTATCCAACTCCTCCTCCTCATCACTGGAAGAAGAGCCAATAGAAAAGAGAGTTTTAGACTTAGGAATGAGTGGAGAGACGCTGAACGAGAAGGAGATTCGTCTCGATGGTCGAGTCCGGCCCTGGGCTGAGAAGTGGGTTAACAGCAGACATTAGAGCATGCTTGAAAATGCATTTAATAATAAAAAGAGGAGGAAAGCAGCCAAAGCAAACTAAAACCAAAGCAAAGGGAATGTCTGCAAAGCAGCTGGCTTCAGAAAAGGGAGAAGAAACAAAGAGTTGAGAACGTGCAGATTGCAGAGGATGCAGGTTTCAGAGGATGCAGGTCTCACTGCATGCGTAAGTCGAGGTACAAGGCTTTGCTATCTTTTTACAGGAATCCTTAATGAAGATGTGAGCAGTTATTTGTGCAAACAGAATACCAACAGCTTAGTGGATCTCTGGACAAAGGGCATCTGCTTCACTGAAGTAACTGCCAGAGAATCAAACTAGAACAACTCAGTAGATTTGTTTAAGGGTGCTTTTTGCATTTAAATGACACTAAAGCTGCTGGGTATAGCATGGATACTTTACCTGACGCGCTGACATTACATACCTAGGAAGGTTCTTGCCACTTCTATCTCTCAAAAAAAAAAACCACCACCATTTTGGTGATGTTATGTCCCTTAAAAACTTCCAGCTTTAAAGTGGAAAGAACTAAATTTCCCTTCTTTTTTTCTCCAAAATAAAACAGAAAAAGGAAGCATCTGTTCTCCTGCCTTCTTATAAACTCACAGACCTTATTTTAAAGAAACTGGCTAAACATCAGAAAAGCCCCTCTGCAACCCCTCCTGTCTTTGCCTGGAAGAAGGCTACCAAACACAGTGCCAAACTCAGCCACCAGTCTGTGGCATCCAATCTTCTATTAGCAGCAGGATGACAACAAGCTCAATCATCTTTTCTCAGGCATGTTACTGCTCTGCCTTCTGCTTATTTCAATTTGTGAAGTTATATTTATCTTCCAGTACTATGCACTTTTCCAGGAATCCCTGCTATTTGTCAGGCCTTCGTCCACAAACTTTGCAAATTAAAAGGGTTTCCTGTAATTCCTGTTTAAAAATAATTTATTTTTAACAGCAGCTCTTGCATAGCAGCAGCTTTGCAACAACTCTTTATATGTACAATCTTCTCTGAAAAGAGATGTAGGAGCCAGCTAGCCACTCATATCTGAAACTGCTACACAGCTCCTTATGGAGATGTCCAAGGGCTGTATTTCCCAGACCTGCCCCTGGAACAGGGCTGACCTAAGGGTCCTACAATAAGCATTCTCATTAAACATCTCTGGGTATATATAAACATATATTCAAGCACTTCTCAGTCATTCCATGGCACAGATAAATCCATTTGCTTGCACAATAGGGAAAAGAGGCTAAAGACTTCATCAGTGTTGAACTTCAAAGAGAGAGACGTACCAGTAATTACTCTCTTTGAATAAAACATGTCCTTTTAGTCACAAAGAGATCTTTTTGTATTGCTAAGATCATACCCCAAAACTGAATTCAGACTATAAAAATATTACCCAAAGAATATCCAACACAATGCAAGCAATGCAAAGGAAACTCCCCTGAAAGTTTCCTTCAGCCATCAGTCATCAGTGCCAATCGCCTACAGGCGATTTGACTAAAATTAAAATTCCTTGTCACATGTAAGCAGAACAACCCTAGAGGGACACAATGAAAGGCATTTAGACTGAAGAATTCTTAGCAAGATTCGTGCATTAATTTTGTTTATACTGCCTTTCAAAGGAGTTCTTCTCGTGTCCCAGACCTGAAGAACATGACTAGGCAACACTGCTTGCTTTCTTCTTGTAGTCTACTGTCTATTTAGACTAAAAGTCAAGATGAACAATCATACTTTACTGTAAATAGAACCACCTCCTCCAGCACAGTTCAGTTCAACTTCCATTTCAGTGATTTTATTTATAGCAGTTCCTGGCTTTATAGCAGTGCTCCACACTGGAAATTTGCTATTCCAAAGCCCAAAGCAGTCTTCCAAGCACTCCAGCCAACAGCTCTTGTGACCTCCCTCCATAAAATGCTGTGGGATTCACAGATGTGAATGGCCACAGCAGTTCTTGGAACATCTGAGGTATCAGACGGAGCGTGGGTTAGAAACTCAGTCTTGGAAATTGCTCCTGCCTCAGGACTTATGACAATAAACAGGAAAAATAAGAGAAAGCCCTCCATATGTTCAGTCATTTGGATTTAGCTTTTGTGCAAAACATGTTGATTTCTTCCCGTTCAGACACATACATAGGGGTCAGAGATTTTTTTTTTAAACACCTACCACAAAATTATGGAAGTGGAGTAAAGAATTAAAGTTTTCCTGGAATTCACCTCCATGAAATCAAGGATTTATTCTTGCATAACTCTGCAGTATTCTGCCGCAGTAACACAAATGTCAAATCAAGGTGATACAAGGCAGTTTACACACTAAGGCCTTCTTGTAAAAGGGACTAAGCTGCTTCACATGTACTTACGGCCTCAACTCAAGGAACACCATTCCTCTTTCAAAGTGACTGAGGAAGGATGAAGTGATTTACTGAAGTTTCCAAAGGAAAGTGTCAGATTTGGGAAGAGAATCTGTGACTTAAATTTTCAAGGTGAGTAATCCCTATGAATCCTCAAACGCATCGATTTTCAGAAACCACCTTCTTACAACAATGAGGTCTGTCTGAGGTGTCACAAATTACTGGGAAAATAAAGCTCACAGAAGTGTTAGCCATTTTTAGCTTCAGTGTCCAAAACTTGCAGACTGCCTCAAAGCCTAACACATAGCCCTGCTATTTCTTCCACAGCCCCTCTGGATTGCTTACTGCATCTTCTCTTTTCCTTCTTTCCCAACGACACCACCATGACTAGGTCAACTCTAGCAGAACGTGGGGTAATCAAACCTGTCTACCACCAGCTCAGGCCTTGGTGAAGGCCATTTTTAATGTGGGTCATAAGACAGAGAAGAATGGGAAGGCAAAAAAGTTGTCTGATTCCAAGACGGGGGCACAAATCCTTTGCTGTCGAGCTCCCCGCTGTGGGCCTGAAATCACAAGGGAGAGGAGCCTCAGCCCGCCAGGTGCTCTCAGCCACCGACAGCTCATCTTCTGGGAGCTAACAGAGTTATTGATGGTGTTTGGTTAGCAACTGGATGCAGTGCCAATAAATGGGATCCTTCAAAAAAATAATGCAGGCCTTCATCCCAAGGAGGAAAGAGGGTGCGCCACTGCACAGAGCAGGAGCCAGCCAGTGGGGCAGAGCAGCCGTGTTTTGGTTACTGCTGCTGGGGGACACATCCATTAGGCCACACGCTTGTTAATCACGATGGTGAAGAATTTAAAAACGTCTCCTGCAAAATGCAACCTCTGTGAGCTTCCTCCAGCAAGCCTCCTAAATAAACAAAATGCCTTTCTTAAAAGCATCTTTCCCTTATTCAGCTTTGCAAGGAAGGAGCATGTTAATAAAGGGGAAAAGAGACCATCACTGATTGACAAGACATGATCTAAAATGTCAATACAGTTTCTGGCTCGCAATTAATAAAATGAAAACGTCTAACACAGCCCTTCCTAAGCACATCCAGCTGCAGCCTTCTGAATTACTTTCCCAGCCAAAAGAATCAATTCAGTGAAGTTGCAAAATTAAGTGCCTGTTATCGCTTTAATTAAGCTAAACTGAAAAATTGCACCTAATCATCTTTTTTTCTTTTATTCAGGAATGAGATTCAATAAATTACACCCAACTGCCCCAAAATATTTAGTTCAAAATAAACAGCAAACTCCCCCAAAGAGACAAAGACAGGGATTCTCAAGTTTCCATATATCAACTTTCACAGAATCTAGAAATGGGAAAATAAGATCTCAAGTGCAATTTGCCTTGACATCAAAGGAAAAAATTCTGCAAGGATGTAAAAATTTAAATTTTTTTTTTCTTAGTAATAAGCTGAATAAATCACAGTTTTTGTATCAGTAGTCTAATTACAAACAAACAAAAAACCCAACAGAACTGGAAATACCGGGGTACACTGAGAAGAACAAACCATGGGTCTAGACAGAGCTCTCCCTTTCCACCCACAATTCCATGCAGCAGCGAAACATATATTTCATGTAATGTAGGAAAGCAAGAGCAGGTACTAGCAAATTCTGCCTTTGGGAAGGTAGCAAAATATACGTAATAATACAGATGACAGAATGGATAAGGGAAAATTGCGTTACTCACTGTCCAGCACTGGTTTACTAATTGACGTTAGAGACGTAGATTTGGTCAGTGGAGATGAAACAGTGGAAGAACAGAAATTCAATCCTTGTGGCTGCGATGTTTGATGCATCTGCAGAACAGAAAACAACCACATTGAGCAAACACGTCAAGCACGACAGCACCATCCCAACTACAGACCCCAGTTCAGTGCTCATGTTTACTTAAATTTTCTCTTTCACACAGTGGAAAATTGAAACAGTATAAGGTAATAGGTGAGAAATGCAAGGACCACAAAAAATGCAAGCAATGTCACACAGGTGAAATGCAACATTTTGCTTTGTCTTTTAAGTGGAAGACAACTAATTATGCAACAAAGGGACTGGCTGCTTGATTTTCTCGCAAGATATTCCACAGACATTGTTAGGATGGGTAATTCTCTGATGGCCACTGAAATTACTGCTGTGATTCCAACTTCTCAGCATAACTAGACTTTAGTTCAACACAGCAAAAACTGTGATGCTTCGCAGTGCGTTCCCCAAAAATGCCATTCCTCAAAGCAAGAGAAGACATGAGAGTCTCGACATACCAGCTCTTACAGGCCAGATCTTGTAGGACCTGATTACTGCCTGGATGTACAGCAGTGACTCCATGAGGTAAACAGACTGGCTGGCTAATGATTCTGGCATGAACCCAGAAAACACTATCACTGAAAATTCAAACTCAAAAATCCAGGGTATTTATAGCATTTAAGACTGTGATTGCTTCCTTAATAAAAAATAAGCAGAGACTCTCACAACACTGTGCCCCATTTGTCCTTAAGGGTAGACGCCTCCACAGTGAAACTGTGACTTTGGAAAATTGCCTCAAAACATTGATGTAGTGTTTTTTAGCAATCTCACAATAGTCGGGCAGCTTTACCTGGTGATCGTAGTCTCTGATCTCCCCCTGCTCAAGTTCTTCAGTGAGCAAGACCAGGGATCCGTCTTGACTGCTGGCAAGCGGACTCTGTCTGAGGTCTTTGGAGCCCAGAGACGAAGCCTCCAAGTTTGTAGAGGGCTTCTTGTTCTCACCAGAGTCTCCAGTAAGGCCTTCGAGGCTGTAACTGAGGAGAAACCATGGTGATTAGATCCTGACAAACTCTTATGGACCAGTGTCTTTCAGGACATAGCACCTTCAAGTGTAAAACACAAGGCAGTCACTAACCGAACAGCGCTGGGAAATGCTGATGTTACTCTTCAGCACATTACTTCTCAAGGACCAAGTGCAGACAGCAGTGAAAAGATTTCTATTTTCTTTGCAATAAACAGCAGCATTTTTGTTCCTCTAAAGAGACACAGTAGTTGCTTGAGAATGACCACTCAAAATCCTGGTCAATACGCTTTCTTACTGTTGGTTTTTTATTTATTTTGTTTTTATTTTTCTCCTTCTTGAATGGTGCACAGGTGACTGTTTCCATCTGATCTCTCTTGGCCCTGATATTCTGCTTCTGACTCTTCTGCTCCATGTGCCCAAGCATCGAGAAACCCACTGCAATGCCAGTTTGGGTTAATGGGCAAGCTTTACAGATTAACCTCCTGGTACACTAGCACAACTCCATAGCTAATATTTGATGTTATGCACACAAAGCCCTGCTAGCTTGGAACAAGGCCTGTCCTGGAGAGACATCCCAACCTGAGGCTAATCATGGTATCTAAGTGGCAAACAAACTAAAATAAAAGCAAATGAAAGCAGAAAGACACTGTAGATTAAACAGATTATTTAAACAACCCAAGAACATTTAAATTCACTTACACCTGCATAGCAGTGATTCATGTTCCGCATTCCTTTACAAGCATTAAGTGGCTGATAAATACGCATTTTTAAAGCAAAAATCAAAATAAACCTTACATAAGATTTAGTTAATTTTTTAAGACTTTTTACAGCAGTTAATGAGAAAGAAGACTGAGGCATTTAAAATTTAATCTGCTTTAGGAAGATTCTGACTCAAGAACGTGCATCAATAGCAGGCATTATAAGGTTTATTCTAAAACACTTGTAAAGAGAAATCAGTAAAATTTTACCAACTATTTAGAGCAAAGGAACTTATTTTTTTTCCTGCATCCGAAGATGATGACAATGGTGTTATATAGTGCAGAAAAAAATCATGTAGTTTGTTGTGACACAAACAGCTCTAAAACTGCAAATATTAGCCCATAATACAGCCCCCTCTTGGTAATACTGGGCTGTATTTGTTGGTTGGGATATATACACCAAATGCAATTAAATTTGTAATGGGAATGACTGTGGCTTCTTTCTCAATATCTAGTCTTTAGAAAAAGAGTTTAATAACCCTATCCACAACCAGAACTGCCAAAAGAAACCAGAAGCTGTAACATCTGGGAGATTGACTTCCAGGCAACATCAGGGAAAGATCTGACCTGCAAGCATCAGTCTCAACTCTGGAACTTTCTACTGAAGATGCAAGCTTTAAATGTCTGGAAAATCTTCATCTCTGGCTATCAGATTGGTTTTCATAGAAAGTTTTACATGATTAGCCTGAGTGAAGAAGAAACTACATCTTTCAAGGTACAAAGAGCAACTCTGTATGAACTTAAATCTTTTACGTCCAGAACAAAGTGCTGCTGAATCACATTAACTCTCATTTTGATTCTTTGGCTGTCACAATTATCATTATGATCATTGCTGTGGAAAAAAACACCCTTCAAAACCATCCCAGAACAGAGCAGCTCAAACCAACAAAGCAGCTCCTCCAACGCTCGAGGCCAATGAAAAGCAGCCACCACCTTCACCTGCATCCCAGTTCAGCAGACCCATTCCCAAGACCCCAGTTGCTGAAAAAGCAGAGGAAGCAAACGAACACGTGCACACTTCAGCCAGAGCAGCAGCGGGAAAGACAACGCATGAAAAGCTGACGACAGAGTGTTTGCAGTGCTCCTTTGCTGTTGCTGCACATTTATTTATACCGTACCTTCTACAAGTAAAGTCAGGACCCATGGGAATGAACTGTACACCAGAGGGACACCAGCTCAAACTAGGAACATCAAAAGAGGCAAAGAAGGGAAAAGGGCAGTGATTATTGGATTTTTACGGATCAGGGGCATGTTAAAAGACTCTCACTCTTGCATATCTTCAAAAAACAAAAGACAAACAAACTTGGAATTAATGCAGTAGTTAATATATCTTTCTGGCTGCAAGAAAACACCAGTGTGTCCCGAGTGACCAAGGTTATCACCGAATGGGTAGCAGGACAGCCCATGCTTCCCCCAAAACGATCCCATCAGTGAGTATATAATCTACTGGAGAAACTGCTCCAAGTGGAGAGAGTCGTTTTTGGGGAAACAAGGCTGTAAAGCACCAAAGCCAATTTTGCATAAGTGATCACACACAGCCATTCTGTTAGTAAGGATTAGTATTTTTCTGGTACCTCTCATCCCCAAGTCAGGAAACAAACCCCTTACGGATATTTAATTGTTTAAGTCTCCTCCATAGAAGTATTAATAACCTCAGGCTACACTTGGGAAAAATAAGAGAGCTACATTTTTAAATGTTGCACAGTAAATGAGTGAAAGAGGCTGGAAGAAAAAGCAGGCTTGTCTTACTACTAACTTGAGATTAAATGAAGAGTCCTTCAAATAGTACTTTGGCTAGAAAACCTTTCAGCTCCCATACCCCAAAAGAGTCCCAAGTTGCATCATGGAAGACAAAAGAAATGCAAATACAGAATGCAAATATTTTGGTTGTCCTTTTAAATACTGCTTTTGTAATTTTTTCTCTGTCAGCTCATGGCCCAATTGCAGGTTTTGCAGACAAAGAGAAATCAATCTTCTTGTCAGTTATGGCATATAAAGGACCCCTAAGTCCTGGAAAAGCTGTCTGGGAAACATGCGTTGTCTGAAGGGAATTTTGCATCAGCACAGATCTGCCAGAGCAGCACTGCACAAGTCCTGCTCCCAGCCTTGGCCTGCGATCCACACAAGGAAAGGACATGGCCAGAGCACGACCCAGGCCAGGAGCCTATGGAAAGGGCGAAACAAGTTTAAGCATCCCTGGGCCAGGACTGTGAGTGCCAAAAACCTCAGAGGCACTAAGGAAGGTTTAAAGCCACTGACTGCATCATCTCATGCCAAGTCCTCGTATAGCTTCCACACACGGTACAACACTGGAAACATTCAGGAAGGGTTTGATGGTTGGTATTCAGTGGTGGAGCATTCAGATAATCACTATCTCTTTTATTAAGGATGTTAACTGGGCGAGGACACACCAGAAGTACCTGTGCTTTGCACCCCAAAGCTCCAGGTGTGCTTCACCAGTAGCTCTCAGCACAGTACCATAAACATTCTTCATGAAGATGTACCTTCACATAACATGCCAATATTTCCAAGTGCTTCACCATCATCATCATCACCCAACTAAACCATGGTGGCAGATGTAGGTATTAGTGAGGGATGGGGGGGGCTAAATACTTGCTTGAGATCATAAAAGCACTGGCCACAGTAAACTCATCTCCATCATACAGATCAGCCTGTGCTCTCAGACTTGGGTTCAGCTCTCCAGCAAGTCAGTAAACTTGACCAGGAGAAACTAGATAGAGGTTGAGAAAGTATCCCAAGGAAGGTATCGCACATGCTCCCACTTTCCTCACTTCCCCCAGCCATCTGCTTGTGCCCCCACGGCTTGGTGGAACCAAGGAGGAGGAAGCCTGGAGACCTTCTGGCAAGGGTTGTGGAAAGCAGAGCCTTACAGTCCTGCTGGGGAGGCACCCACAATCTCTTGGGAACACCACTGAAACCTAACAGGATCAATGCACAGCATGTAAAACCCCTTTACAGAAGACGACCTGGGGAGGGGGAGTGAGCTGTTACATACATCAGCCTTGGAGGAGAGCATAAACTGCTGGAATTCGTTTCAGGTTATTGCTCTGCAACTGGGTTTAGAGAGGATGATACCAAAATGGTTGAGACCAGAAAAAAAACAATAAAGAGAGAATGCTTGTGAAAGAATCAGCACACATTTCGGATATGAATAGGTATTTTAGGTTGCCTATTTGAGACATTTCTTTTTATTCTATGTGTAAGTTCAATGTTTCAGGATATTAATATACTAATACAGCTCTTACAGAGGAGCCTTAACAGACAACTGGTAAAATGGTGTTCATTTGCATGAGCTGCGAAGACGAGCACTGCCCTTCCTCCCCCAGAGCACAGCGATGCAAATGAAGTGGCTTCGTAGAAGTAAAAATGCATGTTCTTTCCAGTGCCTTTTTAAAAATACTCTTTTTTAAGAGCCTCTCCAGCACTGCTCATAGGGCTTCATTTATGCTGATGCACAGTAAGGCATGGTGATTTTTTTGGTAATAATATCATCTATGTGGAAATGTGGCAGTTTGTTTACACACACTCCCATGTAACTCCATCCATTCCAAGGGAAGTGAAATCCTGAGCTAGCCTGCTACAGGAGGAGAGGCAGCGGGCTGTGGGAGATGAGAAGGGGTTGAACCACTGAAGGGGAGAGGTTGAACAACTACTTTTTTTAGCGTAAAAACATTTAAACGTGGACAGTTCCACATGTCTGCTGTGTCCTATTTTATATGTTAATAGACAGCGCAAAGGTTACGTGAGCGAAGAAAATGCACAACTGCATGATGGATGAGGAACTGAAAGTTTGCGATACGGAAGAAAAAAACGCACATGGAAGTAAAGAAAAAAATACTTAATTTCTATTTTTAGGAAGATGGTTTTAAAAAAACAGCAAAAGAGCAAAATTAAAGCCATTTAATTCAACCAGCTGCAGATCCGCAGAATATTCTCCAACTCTGAGATTGTTTCTGATGCATCCCCTCCCCAGATGCCCCTCCTGCAAGTCTTGGCAAGAGTCTCCAATGTGCTTTAAATCCCAGTTACACACATGCTCTCCGGTAAACAATTATTTAAATACAACTCCAAATTTTACACATGGCAAAGGCCAATAAAATGATATCTGGATTTCTCCAAGTTTTTAACACATTGTCCTTAAGCACACGCTCTGTGGATCAGAAGAACTGCCCCGGGTCAGTCTGGAGAGGGAAAGCAGCCAAGTGGGATGCACAGTGCTAACGCCAAGGCTTCCAGGGGTACTACAGGTTTACTAACATGATAGTACGGGGTTAGTAGACAATCAAACGTAAAGCAGTCACATTAGCTGGCTTTGTACCTTCTCCTATGAATGGGAGGCTTCTTTATAACATCCCCCAGAATGCGCATTGAACTGAAAATGAATCATGGAGAGTGGTCAGCAGCTTGAATGGAAAAATACGAACAAATGGCAGCTGAAGGAATAATATCTCCAACAAATGAACAACAGAGGGAACGGACACATAGAGAAAACACAAAATTAAATACTAAAGGAAGCAATGAATCTCTCTTTTCCTCCTCTCTTACAAATAAACCTGGTTTTGGGTTTGTGGTTTTTTTTTTTTGCACAGAAAGGTTTCATAGGTATTGACCACATTGCAACATAGCTGCTGCCCAAGCCAGGTCAGTTTAAAGTTTAGATAAGGACAAACTATTTGACAGAAGCTGTTAGCAACTGTGATTAACACCAGCTCCAGTTTTGCATTGCTCAATCCATCAGTGAAAAATGCCGACCTTTCTTTCCTCAGACTCGAACGTTAAAAACACTGCATCACTGCTGAAAGACAGGCATGCCAAATCTGCTGTGAATGTCAGGAATGAACTGAACAATGAACATCCTTTTGTGGCAGCCCTGGTAGTTTTCTTTGTATTTTTAATAGCAGAACATAGGCTTGAGGATTATCCATGAAGTGCATTTGAGGAGAGAGGGGAAGCGGAGTGGAACCGAGTATGTGTTCATATTTTATTTAAGATGATTACGTTTTTCCTGATCTTTTCTGTGAACAAACTTGTATGCTCATCCCTCTTACAAACAGAAACCACATAACACTGCAAAAGACAAAATCTTACAAAAGACTGAGGGGGTTTTTTGTAGGCTCCTTGGGTCCTGTATCAGCAGCATTATTTGAGCTTCACTTTGCTACCTCTGCCATCAGGGAAAGACTATTTTTGGTGTAGATGGGGACTGGACCAGGCTGCGAGTCCTTTGCTGGGTCAGGAGACACCTCTCACAGCTCAGCTGGCCTTGAATAAGAAAATGAGTAAGAAAACCACCCTGAATTTAACTGATTTGTATGAAAGTCACTTGTTTGGGCTCCACTTCCTCAGTATTTGTTGTTGCTTGCTAAGCAACCAGAATCTCAACATCACAACAGCCACGTATGAAAAGAACAAAGAAGAAAGGAAAAAAAACCCAACAAACAAACCCAAATAATCTAAATTCCTTTGTAACAGAAACATAAAACCAAACAGGAACCAAACCAGCAGCAAAGACTCACACAGCTTTTCTTCTCCAATTAACCTATGTGACAGCTATCCTTACATAGCACCAGCTGTATCTAAGACATATGAGAATAATTACTGCTTCTTTAACTCTATTTTTCTTACATTTACAACGAATGTATTTCCCATATCAGAAACAGCCTCCAAAGTCTGATGCAGAAGAATTTAACCCCATCTGTTAAGTGTTAGCAACAACTGCCAGCAATGCAGTTTATTACCCTCTGAAATCCTTACAGAACAGGTCCAACACTTAAAAATAAATCTCTCCAAATGAGTTTATGAGCTTATGGATGACTCCTGTCAAAAACCTGCATGGGTACCTTACGCTGACTCTTCAGTAGCTTTAAAAAGATAGGTATTACTTGATTTCTTTACATATTACCTGGGGACCAAAAATAAAGCCAAAAAAAGGCAGAAGTGGTACACAACAGCAGCAATAACAACAATAAATTATAAATAAATTTACACCTTACGTTGCTATATGCCTGAAAGTATTTCAACATTGGCTTTAAAATCTGAAGTGTCTAAGATATTCCTTTAGTGATACCCACAGCTCCTAACAGGTAAAGGATGCATACATTTCCGATGGGAAGCTGCTGCCTCTCACTGGATTATCCAAATTATCAGTAACGATTACCAAAAACCCATTGTGAGTGGCCAGTTTTAATTTAATAGCATCACCAAATGCAACAGCTCCATTTCTCTTAGAAAAAGACCCGTGGCCATGAAGACAGCAGCAGGCAGCCCAGAGAGCGGTGCTGAGCTGCAAGTCTGCACTGGAGGGACATGAGGATATGGCACTCTGGCCCTGCCAAAACAACTGGCCATTCCAGAGCTGAAAACATTTTAAATTCACGAAAAACACTGGCCAATCTTCCCTGGTTTCAGAACACACAGGGTTTGACCCTAAGCAGCTCAGATGATGAATGGTGCAGAGCACGGCGAGGAACCTTACACCAACTGATTTATTGGTGTGCACCTTCCTTACTTCATCTTTTTGCCCCACTGAGACCGGGGGATGAGCATCTTCCCACAGCCACTTGGCACCAGCATCTGCACACATGGCTGTTACACCTCTCCCTCTTGTACCTTCTGAAAAAAAACAAATGGGAAAACTTCCCTTTTGAGTTTTCCTGGACACCACTGGGGACACAGGTGATTTAGGTGGGACTTAATGTCCATGAGAGACTGAGGTGGAACCAATTCTGTGAAACAGTGACTACCCATCTCACCACTGTGAGGAGCCTCCACACCTTTTTAAAACCCTGGTGCCTGTGCTATCTCTTAATACAATCAGAGCAATAGTGGCCATGTTTATTTTGTGGTCAGTGAGATTTAACACTCCAATAATTCCCTTAACAAAGCCCTCCATACAGAAAGGGGTGGTGACAGTTCAAATGGAAGACCTGTCCCGAGGTAATCCCATTTGCTCTGGAAAGCTCAAGCATACCATAGGTATTCAGCACTTTAATCCTGAAAGTTAATTCTAAAAAACGCAACCAAACATACACTAGGAGATTGTCTTCACCCCTTTGAGTGAAAAAGAAATAATCAGAAGTGACATCCTCAGTTTTCTGTTTTATTAAGCCGAGTCTAAAGCTCAGATAAATATGTATAAGCGGGTGCAAAGTAAATCAAAGCAGCTCCTCACTCACCTCCTCTGATTTATTTCTGCTTCGTTGGCGGCGTTCTTTCCTGGCTCCCAGCTGTGGCGGCGGAAAGGTGACAGTGGCCGCATGGAGTTTCGCAAGACGGAGGAACGAGTGGGCACATCCGTGATGCTGTCCAGCTCCTCTTCCTTCTCTCCCTCTGTGGCCACCATGTTGGTGCAGCTGCCATCCAGGCTGTGCTTGTCCTTGGGCTGGACGAAGCTCGCCGTCGGCGGGAAGGGCAGGTAGGTGTCACTGCCCAGGGATGAGTTCCTCTCCAGGGACATGGTGTCATCTGCAGAGGAACTGGAGCTGGTGACATCAGAGGCAGACTGCTCCTCCTCAGGCTGCTGTGGACAAGAAAAATTCAGAATATATTAAAGTAGAATCATAGACCAGAGGTTCGGGTTGGAAGGTACCTCTAAAGGTCATCTAGTCCAACCCCCTGCCATAGGCATGGACATCGTTCACTAGATCAGGTTGCTCAAAGCGCCATTCGACCTCACCTTGGACACTTCCAATGTAGTAAATACATTTAACACTTTAAATAAGTGCAAGCATTTTATATTTCACACGAGCGGAGAGACTTCCTAGTTGATAGCATGAGGCAAATAAACTAACACAGAAGTGACACTTTTTGCTCTGGTTTCAAAAGAGGCTGAAATGCTCTGCAGAGCAACCTCTTCCACCCCTCAAAGTTCCCGGTTGCCATAGCCCTGGACTCTGAGCCCGGGTCCTCTGCCTGCCTTCCACTCTCCAAATCCACATTTCACCTTTCACAGCAAATCCTGCTCTTTTCACCATTTCTGGCTAAACTTTTTATTGGTCACATAAAACTACCAAAGGTTTATGAAGAGCAATTAATGGGCAACTGGGTGATCATGACTCCTGATGACAAACTTCAGCCTCCCCTGTAGGACCTGGGATGGGTTTGTAGCTTTCAGCCTTGAGAGTTCAAGAGCAACAAATGGTCCCATTGCATCATGCAGCACAAAAAGGACAATTACTCAGTAGTAGAAAACAGACAGGAAAAATAAAAGCTGAAATCTCTCTTCCCCACTACTTTCCATTAAGCAGAAAGTTAATGCCAGGGTTTGCAGCATTTTTCAAATCCAACTGTAATTGAAAAATACTGTTGCACAGGATCAGCCACCCTGTATTACAGGTCTCGAGTCATACCGCAGTTTTTGGGTTTAGTTTGCTCCAAAAGCAGTAAGTGGGAGCCAAACCGGTTCTCCTTGGCCAAAGGCCACGTGCTGACCATACAGCCCCAGAAGAGTCTGTGCGTAGTCTGTGCTCCCTGTGGCCAGCATAAAAACACACAAGCATCCCTCTGACATCACCTTCAGCCTGAAATGGTGCTTGCCCCGAGGGACTGACGTGGGAAGTTTCAATTTATTTCTCCTGCAGAGCCCTGCGCTGTATCATTTAATATAATAATAGGCAGAATGATCTGTCAGACCATATATAATCAACTATTCAGCAAAGCCGCAGCGGTTAATTGTGTTCAAATAGCAGGCTTGGTGGGTCTCAGCAGAAGCTGACAAGTGGGGTTTTTTTGATGGGCACACATTATAAGCTAAAAGCTTCTTATTGAACTGAATAAAAAGAAACGAAGATGTTCAAAAAGCATCCTAACCCTATCTTTCACTATTTAGAGGGAAGCCCTGTTTCAAGATGGGCTATTTTTCATTATTTTGGTTTAACAGATACATAATAATTTTCCTAAGGTGGTTTAAATAAATGCTGTCACACTATTTCCCCTCTCCCTTACATCAAAAAAGAGACAGCATTCACAGCTATACAATACACCTTTTAAATACAAAATATTAAAAAACACACTAAAAATATACCCCTCCAAAAGCATTCATTTCATGATAAGGAACATCAAATATTTATGGTGAATTTGTATAAATACTTCACTATTAAACTTTTATAGTAATGCAAAGTATTGGGTTTGACACATTTAAATATGAAGTGTAGGTTAAAACAAGAGAGAACTGAAGTAGATGCCTTGTGAAGATTTTGATGACGTTTGGTGTTATTCAAGATATCCGATATTTGCGTGAGTCATGATGAGAGCTTACTGAATTGCTTAAATCCAGACAAATTAAGTAGTCGTTATGTGGATAATGCTCCTTCAGCAGAGGAAACAGTCTGCTTCGCTGTTCGGAGACACAGGAAAATCCCGTTAGACATTAGGGCAGCACAGCAGGAGGAGAGAGGACTCCCCACCAGCTGTGTGGGGAAAGGGTGGGACAGTCTGGAAACACTAAATTTGGATGCAGATCTTGCAACAATAGTGCAAAGCATCAAATTATATAGGGAGAAATTAGAGTAAAAAAAGGAATTTTTATTTCCCAGGTAAGAATACTACTCCCCTTAAAAATGCAGAACAAAACCCATGCCCCTAGCAGGGAAGATTTAGAGTTTCTAAAGTGCAGTTCAAAGAGATATTTGAAAAAAGTGAAATATATTTTAATCTTTACCCTGAGCATCAGACTGACTACAGAACACAATAACCAATTCCCCTGAACTTCTGGCCCATGCTTATTCCTCTAAAACGATTCTGTCTTCATTTAAATGATTTTTATTTTTTTCAAACAAAGCAAAAACAGTCAATCTGAAAGACCGGGACTCTGCCTGCAAAATGCCAAGTGTTGCTGACACATCTAAGAAACATCTGCATTGTAGCCACCTCTGCAAAGAATTAGCTATCTGGCCAAAGGCCAGTACATATGCATTGCTCTTTAATCCTATTTGAATGAGAAAATTCCCTGTTTGCAGAACAGAAATGCTTCTCTAATGTCTTCTTTTCCTACAGGAAAAACGAAACATTAAAGGAATATCAATTTTCTTCATGTTATGCTTGCTGCATTGCACCTCGATGAATTCAACCCTTAATGAAGACCATAAAACTCATGGCTGAAAAAAGCCTTTCCAGAGATGTGCTAATGGGCATTTTCTTTGCTCTCAGAAAGAGGTCTTGGCGAGGTGTTAGTAAGAAAATACGAGATAAGGCATAAAAAGTGAGTTTTCTGAGAAAGGACGTATGCAGTTCTTCGTGAATAGGGATAAGAGAAATCACTAGCACAGTGGGGGTATAAGATAATGTCTTCAACTAAATCCCTCCCTCTGTAGGAGGTCTTGGTAAGTGGAATTAAAATGTTCTTTCTATGATTTTTGTGATGACAACACGCAAAGTGCTGAGATAAAAACTTACTCTGTCCCTTGATCTTCCATGTGAGAAAGACATTAAAGGTGTTACAGTATTTAAAAAAACAACCCAAATGGCTGGCATTCAGAAGTTTGTTTGGCACATCATTATACTAAAGGAGATAACTTTGGTTGGCCTCATGGAGTCTGAAAGTCTTCTTTTAAGTTTCGATTTGCTTATGGCTTCAGGCTCCCCGAAATTAACATCAAGAGTGGCCCTCAATCAATTAGTTATAATAATTTTTACGGTTTGGAATTGAGGAGTCTTCCTCTCGTGAAAGTTTCTCTCTTCAAACTTTCAGACCTTTGGGTTTAGTTTTTTCTGCGTGGCTGCTGGGGCTTCTCCGTGGTTTGGTTTGGGGTTTGTTTGGTTGATTTTTTTTAAGAGAGACAATAATTCTGAAAAAATAAATGCAAAATATTTATGTATTTGTCTGCTTCCTTCAGCAAACCAAAACAATGGCAGAAATTAAACAACATCCAAGGGGTTGAGTTGCAACCCCTTCCCTCTGACAGTGATCTGTGGGTTCCTGACTTCCCCAGGGCCTCTCGTCTGAATCATCTCCCGAGAGGCCCATTAAAAAACTTCCCAGCAAGGCTGAACTTCGGTGGCAGGTTAAAAGTTAAGATGAGCGAAGCGTATGGGCTACGCCCCAGGACGTTGCCAGATGATTGTGAGAAATGACCTTCTGCAGCATGAATCACTCAAGGAGGAGGGTGTTGCAAAGCCTGCCCAGATGGCTGAGATGGAGAAGGAAAAGCAGGATGATGAGGACATGGGAAGTGGCTCATTCTTCCTAAATCTCTGGATTTTAATGGATTAAGGAGTTAATAGAGGAGGAGTGAATTATACAACAAAAAACAATTCTAATAGAGAAAAGTTCAACTCTTGCTCCATAAAAAGGGGAAACAAGACCAGGAGTAGTAATAACAATAATCATCATGACACTGAAAGGTTTGAGATCCTCTTTAAGTAAAAATGTTCTCTCTCTTCTCAATTTGATATGGAAATTGTACTATTTAATAGGCTTATAACCAACTACAATCAAGACACGCACGTTATAATATTTTACAGAAGACTGAATCCAGCGCTTATTTTAGTGGCTCTTAAAAATATTTATAACTTGAATTTCTACCAGTTGGGCTCAGTAGTCAAAAAACAAGCAAAACTGAATTAAGGAATGAGCTCACAACGTTAAACCAGCGTCTCTGGTCCTTCTAGAAATAACTTCAATATCTAAAATAACTGCATACAGAAACAACTGTAGAAAAGGTACTCAGACAAATTCTGAGAAAGGAGACAAGGAATTGAGTTAGTCAGCAACGCAGAGACAAAAAAGAAACTGAGGTAGAGATTGGCTTTGAATAACTTCCTAAACTCAACGCAGGAACCCTTTGAACCCCTTTGTAGATGAAGTCTGCAATCCACCTCATCATGAGAACAATGCAAATGCTGCCAAATTAAGAAACTCCCTTTCTACAATGAAAATAATTTCCTCTCTCTGCCCGTTCTACTGGCAATTGAAGATCTGCTTTCCCCACCACCTCCTCCTTTTCCCTGCAGCATCCCTACTACATTGCACTACTTTTTAAGTTTTAAAATTTCTTTCTTGTATTTAGAAAAGAAAACTTTCCACATAAGAAGGGGAAAAAGCTAAAATTCTGCACGACATAACATTTACTGTGCTCCCACAGCACTCTCTCCCACGCATCCCCATGCAAGCATTAAATCAGGCTCAAATGGCAGTCGGCTCTTGTAACTCGTGCCACTCTACCCAAGGAAATTGAAGACAGCCCTGCTCTGCCAAACAGCTTTATATTCTCACAATCCAGGGTCCCACATCACTTTGACAGTAAGATGGGAAGGGGTGAGGCTGGCAAGCTCTGTGCCCTACCCCACGCATTAAGGATGACTTTACTGTTCGTTCATAGCACATGAGATCACTTAGCCTGGGCTGTGGTGTTTCCCGTCCCGCTGGAAAGCGTTCACCATCATCTGATTTGATTTAAACAAACAGAATTTTGTTTCATTAAATATGCAAGTGTGAAACCTACTCTGGAAATTTAGGTTTTCAGAGCAGAAAGCATGCCTGCACAAACAAGTAAGCTGGAACTGAACCTAAACGTGTGATTTCATGGAGCTGACACCAAGAATGCAAATTACCAGCAAGACTATTCTTAAAAAGCAAACCCTAATCATCCTCCAAATAAATTCAGGCTGCTCTGATGTAGACACCCAAAGGTGCTAAAGGGAAGCATCCTCTGTTTGGGAGGCTGAACCTATCTCAGGTCTCACCCACACCCTTCTCAGCCATGAGCACCACAAAGGGCACAGGGATGACTAAGGTTACTGATGACTTCTGCTGCTGATTTTAAGCAAATCTGAAAACATTTTCCTCCTACTTGCACGCAAAAAGGCATTAGAGGTATGTCGTCTAGGCAACAAAACTATTCATTGGAATTTGCCTTAAGTATTTAGAGTGAGTGCTTCCTTCCTATCCAGGGAGTCACACTGAATTTACAGCAAAACACTGGTTCCTCTGAGAATTACAGTATAGGATTCTGAAGGTGTCAGTGCAGAGGTCACCGTTTGCTGGAGAAAAGGTCTTTGTTACATTAGTTAAAGATGTTTTTCCTACCATCTGCGCAATCCCTAATGACCTTTCAAGAAAATCCACCTTTTCAACTGTTCCTCTAGTGCCTGATTTACTTTTGGACAGCCAAAATTGCTTTCATCTTTTTAACATCAGGGGCTGCACAGTTTTTGGAATTCTGTTGCAAGTAAATACATCCCTCATGTTGCTGCATCTAAAGAGAGGACCAGACCCTTCCCATCTATTCCGCTCAAGGATAATCACTTCCAGGCTTCCAACTCACCAGTGAAACCAAGACGGTCTGCATTTGTTGTGTGGGATTGTTGAAACAGGACTTAGAGCTTTTTTAACCACATCCCAACCAGGCTTTCCTACCTTTCCAAAGACGAGGTCTTCCATTCCATCACCAGGCAAGGGGAACAGGTCGGACTCGCTCCCAGACCCTCTTTTAAGGACACCCTGTGAGGAGGCGCAGACGCTGCTCAGCCCATCCTCCAAGAAGTTCTCACATTCTACGGGAGCAAAGCAGAGAGAGTTATGGGCTGATGCTTTCTGGAGCATCATTGCATCCAACTTGCATATGCTCAATAAAGTCAAGGATATATTAAAAAAATAATGATAAACAAAGCTTTACAAATTGTTTCACCTCCCAAAACCATGCCTGCAAATTTTTAAAGAATTTAGTCAAGAGTTTAAAACTTATTTTTAATGCATTATCAAAGTATATGGTGCAAACAGAAATTCTGCATTAAACAGCCATATATGCTTGTAGCTTGAGGTGCTGATAAAGGTGTTATGTATTAGGTACTCCACACCGAGTGTAACAGGTGTTGCCCGTCGATTGCAGGAACTGCAAAATTAGATTCATGTTCAATAAATCTAGAAATACAGCTTGACAATGTTTGCTTTCTTTCTCAATTAAAGAATCAATTCCTTCTAAATGCCAAGGTCCTTTTAATGCATACGGGGATGATTATTTCATTCTTCCTTCTACAATACTCAAGTATGACTTCGATACCAAGCTTTACTTGTCAAAAAAATTAAGTGTTTTTTTAAAATCCTCAGCTTTTGTAACTCCTGACATTGAAATATAAGCATATTGCATCTCTTTTTTTCTAAAATGCTTCCAGCTGTTTGTATTGGGTTGATGGGCAGCACAGAAATAGATTACAGCCACTGAGAAAGCCCTTCCTTTTTATGCATTTGCATAAAAAACGCCTGTATATCGTTTTGTTTCTTCAGCCTTCAGGCAAAAGTATTAATGACAATTTTGGCAATAACTGAACATTCTCTTCTCCCAGCTCACTACATTTTCTGATTATTAGTATTTTTTAAACAAAAGGTGTTATTTTGCAACCTACTCTAACTACAGAGATCCAAAACATGTTTAGCTCCCTGGAGAGGAGCCAGGGCACTAAAACGTCATTTTGTTCAGAAATTACACCTGGTTAACTCCATCCCTGGCTACATCAACCTTATACATCAACACAATGATGGCAAGTTTGGGTAGCTCAAAGCCACCTTTTTCCCTTCCCCATCCTTAACCTGTGCCAGGTAGCAGCTATCAAACACCGCAGCCACTGCCCAGCTGATGAGAGCGAGCCACTGGCTGAGGAAATAACATTAATTTATTGATGGCAGAGGGGCTGCCCCTGTTTTTGGGCATGGGGAAGCCAAACCCGGTCGGAAACCCCATTACCCCACAGAGGAGTTTCCACACCGCAGAGAATTGGAAAAGCACTTATTGGAGGCAGTGCTGCTGCTCCCCATTCCCCTTTCAGTAAACCTGGAAAATCTGAACTGCTTTTCCATTGCTGAGGGAGAGAAGGGAGGGGGAAGAGAAGATGAGAAGGGGAAAAAGAAGGGAAAAGCAAAGAGGAGATGGAGCGGCTGTGGGGGAGCGGGCCAGGGTGCCGGCCGTCCAGCTGGCAGCCGGCAGAGCGTGTCCGCAGCCCAGACTGAAAAACAAAAGGGCCTGAGCCACGTTCCAGTGGAAAATCAGCAGGGACGGTTCAGATGCACCAAGGGATGGACACCTCACCCCAAAGATAAATCTCAAGAGGCAGCGAAAGGCTCTGCAGGAGCCTCTGAGAGACAGAGGAGATGAAGCAGCAGGGAGGGACGATGAGGAGCAGAGAGATGGGGACCCCCACAGACCCAAACCCTCTCTTTCCTTCCTTTTCTCCTTTATTTTCAGTTGTTGGGCAGGGGTCTTTTCCCCCCTCCTTTTCTCAGTTAGCTCACTGGGTTCGTTTTCTTTGACTTAAAGCGCATGGGCATTGCACAACGCTGAGCTCAGTCTCCCACCCCTGTGAGCTGGGGAGCCCTGGTGACAGCACTGCCGTGACACGGGGACCATGATGCCCACCACACACCCACCCCTGCTCGCTGGGCTGACAGCACCGCTGTGCTTATCTGCTCCTCTCTGCAAAAACACAATGATGATGGGAACGCACTTCTGCTCAGAGGCAAAAACATGTCACAGTAGAATGCCCTAGGATGAAAACTTCCAAGCAACTCCTTTACAGACATTTTCCAAAGCCTCATGTCCTCCAAGACAGGGCTGAGCCCTCCAGTTCCATGCTGACAGCTACGTATCTGCCACGCTCCTCCAGGCATTTCATTTCAACAGCACTGACAGGAAATGAGAACCTATGGGTTCTGGAGTTACTGTCTAAGATTTGAGGACTCAGTCC